GCGAGGCTAGATGGTCGCGTCCGTGCGCCTCTCTGTAACGCAATTCATTTGGAAACTCAATACAATTTACACAGTATTTTAAACACCCTCTAGTTATCTTTCCATGGCACGAATTATTGGAAAGTTATCTTTCCTGTTGGCTTTATTGGAAACTAATTGTTAACTAATACAAAATATTTTCAAAGCTTCTTGGTACAATTACGCAAGTCCTGGGGGTGGTGGTGGCAGGGGGCGTTTTATTTTTGTTTCTTTATTCCGCACAAGGGGATTGTGATAACAACAACAACAAAAAAAAAAACAATACAAAATTGATAAAATACATAAAGTGTTTTTTATTTGACAAGTACGTTTTATCAAAGTAGGCGTAAAAAGTAATCTTTTGTTATACTTGATGTTGAAGCGCCCTCTGAAGGACTCCTCTTGATTGATATGCCCTGAAAAAAACTTCTCACTGAATTCAGTAGTGGTGTCCAGTTTTGCACGCGTATAAAAAATGAAGTTTTTAAAGTTAATTTGCTTGATGTCCTTCTGGACTCTGGATTTGATAATCGTATCGGGTATGTAGTTTGTGTTTTTTTAATCTCTTGTCTAATATTTAACAAGTTATTTCAGTATTACCTATGTACATGTTCCTTCTTCTTTATCATATACATAATTGATTATTGCTACGTTTCTTGTTTCCCGTCTAAGTAGTATTTTTGAACACTGACTTCTGCACGTTTCTTTTTTTTTTCTGTAAGATTGTAACCTGTTATTTCAGAATGGGTCCCCCAGTGGCACAGCGGTATGTCTACGAACTTACAACGCTGCAATCCGGGTTTCGATACCCGTGGTGGGCAGAGCACAAATATCCCATTGTGTAGCTTTGTGCTTGATCACAAACCAACAAACAAACAATTTAAGAATGTATTCTGTGACATTACTTTGTTTTACAGAACACGCTGTTTTAGTTAGAAAGGGCCGAGTTTGATCAAATGGTAAGCGTTTCCTGCTACGTGTCGGAAGGCCCAAGGTTCGAAATACTAAAATTGAGTTTGTTCGGTATCCTCGCGAAGTTACACGAAGATAATGCGCATTAAAATCGTTTGAACTGAAAGACTAAAGCTGGTCAAAATCTACTTAAACCCAATTGTGGGATTCGACCACCACTCTTATTAGCAACAATGGCTTTAAATTACGGACGCGAATAACGGACCCACCGATCAACACTACTAGGCCACGCCCGGCACTGTTTAGTTAAGGTAAGGGGATTCTGTAATGCTGTTGGATAAACATCACCCGTTTTACACATATTTTCAGAGCAACATTTGATTAATTACAAAAATACGTGTAACGATATGAGCGACGAAATGTTGGTTTTATTTTTTTTGAAATCGAAATACTCTAATTCATTTAGTAAGTTAAAAAACAAAGAGCGCATGCGCTTTCGAATGGTGGACCGAGATTGTTGAACTTTATCCCTCACGAGAATCCTCTTTCTTGTTTAGTAAGGTAGTCTGTCACAAAGATTCCAGTTTTTCTATATAATTAAAACTGCTCATAAACATTCAGCAGAGTTTTACAAAACTTTTATACTTTTTTTTTAAAGAACGTTCTTATCTTCCCTCCAGTTTCAGAAGAAAGATAGTTAACCGAAAAAACAAAACAACAACAAAAAACGTTAAGTATCGTGGGAGGCAAAAACTTAAACTGTATTTATCTGCATAGTAGCTTCACTCTTATTATAAACTAGTGGTGGCTTCACTCATTATAAACTAGTGGTGGCTTCACTCATTACAAACTAATGGTGGCTTCATTCTCATTATAAACTAATGGTGGCTTTACTCTGATTATAAACTAGTGGTGGCTTTACTCTGATTATAAATTAGTGGTGGCTTCACTTTGATTATAAGCCTGTTGTGTTTATAAGCTTGTGGTGGTTTCACTCTGATTTATAAACTAGTGGTGGCTTCACTCTAGTTATTAGTTTGTGGTGGCTTCATTCTGATTATAAGCTTGTGATGGTTTCACTCTCATTATAAGCCTGTTGTGTTTATAAACTAGTGGTGGCTTCACTCTAATTATAAGCCTGTTGTGTTTATAAGCTTGTGGTGGTTTCACTCTGATTATAAACTAGTGGTGGCTTCACTCTGATTATAAACTAGTGGTGGCTTTACTCTGATTATAAACTAGTGATGGCTTCACTCTTATTAAAAACTAGTGGTGGTTTCACTCTGATTATAAGCCTGTTGTGTGCATAAACTTGTGGCGGTTTCACTCTCATTATAAGCCTGTTGTGTGTATAAACTTGAGGTGCCTCACTCTTGTTATAAGCCTGTTGTGTGCATAAACTTATGGTGGTTTCACTCTCAATATAAGCCTGTTGTGTTTATAAAATTGGTGGTTTCACTCTCATTATAAGCATGTTGTGTGCATAAACTTGTGGTGGTTTCACTCTCATTATAAGCATGTTGTGTGCATAAACTTATGGTGGTTTCACTCTCATTATAAGCCTGTTGTGTGCATAAAATTGTGGTGGTTTCACCTCTCGTTATAAGCCTGTTGTGTTTATAAAGTTGGTGGTTTCACTGTCATTATAAACCTGTTGTGTTTATAAAATTGGTGGTTTCACTCTCATTATAAGCCTGTTGTGTGCATAAACTTGTGGTGGTTTCACTCTCGTTATAAGCCTGTTGTGTTTTTTAAATTGATGGTTTCACTCTCATTATAAGCCTGTTGTGTGTATAAACTTGAGGTGCCTCACTCGTTATAAGCCTGTTGTGTGCATAAACTTGTGGTGGCTTCATTGTCATTATATATCTTGTGTTGTTTATAAACCTGTATTGGCTTCATTGTCATTATGTCTTGTGTTGTTTGTAAACTTGTATTGACTTCATTGTCATTGTAATCTTGTGTTGTTTATAAACTTGTATTGGCTTCATTGTCATTGTAATCTTGTGTTGTTTATAAACTTGTATTGGCTTCATTGTCATTGTAATCTTGTGTTGTTTATAAACTTGTATTGGCTTCACTGTCATTATATTTTGTGTTGTTTATAAACTTGTATTGGCTTCATTGTCATTATGTCTTGTGTTGTTTGTAAACTTGTATTGGCTTCATTGTCATTGTAATCTTGTGTTGTTTATAAACTTGTATTGGCTTCATTGTCATTGTAATCTTGTGTTGTTTATAAACTTGTATTGGCTTCATTGTCATTATATTTTCGGTTTTTCTTTTCATATAGTTTTCTTTAACTAAAACATTTATATCTATGATGTTTTTATTAGCTCAAGAATCTCCGAAAATACCAGACGTGTTTAGAATGAAAGATTTTGTTGTGACAGCAGTCGATGGTGTTGACTCCAGGTTTGGGATGATTTCGGATATATACTACGATCGACCAAACAACAGGTTTTCTGAGACAGTAACAGTTAACGGAAGTGTTATCCAAACAGTGATTGACTTTAACACCCAGGAACTGCTACAAATTCTAGGTAGGAGTTCCTTCGGAAAGACAAAGAAAAGTAAATGAACGTGTCACATTTTCTTTCTTCTTCAGTCGTGTGTAATACTGTTTATTTTATTTGAATGACTAGTTTCAAACATTATAACTCGAAGTCTTATATTTAACTTGACAATCAATTGCTTAAGGTGCCTAAACTTATGAATGTTTTAGATATATTCCCCCTGTACAATGAATTCTGTGTTAGCTTGACATAAAACAAGCGGTACCTTAATTCAAGCTTCCCAGTGGCACAGATGTTTATGGACTTATACCGCTAGAAACCGGAGTTCGATACCTGTGGTGGGAAGAGAACAAATAGCCCTTTGTGTTTAATTATCAACAAACAAACTTTGATTCAAAGTTAACTAATACCAACATTTTAAAACAAGATAACGTAATCCATCATTGTATCCTAATTATTTCAAAAAACACATTGAAATTTCTAGGCCTACTATACCAAAGTAGGAAAAAAAGGGAGCATTTCACCAGTGTTGAAATAACGTAAAACAGAACGTGACGTTTCACAACTAAAATTACGTCATAAAATAAAGCTAGAAAGACGTGTAATTATCTAATATTTACTTATTAATCTCGGATTCTTTTCTTTTCTAAACGTAAAGGTACAAAGTGCAAGACTATTGCGCTCACTGAAGATCTGGTACGAGCTAAAACATTCCCTTTTATAGTAGATATTGACAAAGCTGGAAACATGACATTGAAAGGCTTGACTTGGTTGAATGATGCGGTAAGTGGATTTGATACTAAAACTTAGATATGGAGCTAAAAGATAAAAGCTATCTCGTTACCAAACGTAACAAGTTTCGATCTATCACAAACTACTTATACTAAGGTGATTCAGCTATGGGTCGGAGCTACTTTGACAGATGTTTGTTATAACAATTTGTAATACCTTATTGACGACCAGGTATGGGTAGCAGCATGTTGTCAAAACAATTAATACATTAGTGGCGACCAGGTATGGGCAGCAGCATGTTGTCAAAACAATTAATACATTAGTAGCGACCAGGTATGGGTAGCAGCATGTTGTCAAAACAATTAACACCTTAGTGACGATCAGGTATGGGCAGCAGCATGTTGACAAAACAATTAATACATTAGTGACGATCAGGTATGGGTAGCAGCATGTTGTCAAAACAATTAATACATTAGTGGCGATCAGGTATGGGTAGCTGCATGTTGTCGAAACAATTAATACATTAGTGGCGACCAGGTATGGGTAGCAGCATGTTGTCAAAACAATTAATACATTAGTGACGATCAGGTATGGGCAGCAGCACGTTGTAAAAACAATTAATACATTAGTGGCGACCAGGTATGGGTAGCAGCATGTTGTCAAAACAATTAACTCCTTAGTGACGATCAGGTATGGGCAGCAGCACGTTGTAAAAACAATTAATACATTAGTGGCGACCAG